TACGCTATCAAAGTGGTAGTTGCCTAGTTCTTTGTTAATTGTTATATTATATGTTTAATTGGGAGTGTAGACTCACCCACTCATATTATCAGATGATCAGAGTTGGGCTTTTACTATAAATCGATGCGCAAGGGTAATAAAGTTCTTGATAATAATGGGTCCAATATGCTGGCACCATGGATTTGGAAATTTCGTTGTGTAAGCAATGAAGACATCTGGGTTGAAACTTTGTTTTATTAATGTTAATTTGGGGTTAATTACATGAGTCCCCTGAGATTTTAATGATTAACAGAGCTATAAAAAAGATGACTTGGGACAAGGTAACACATAACCCCACCTTATTTGCTCCCGTTATAACACTATTGATGGAAAAAAGTTATTTAAGTAGTTGAAATAGTAGATATCTTTTATCTTTATAATTTTGAAATTAAAATATTTTATATTTTAAACTTTTAATACCACCGACTAGATACCGTCATGACAAGAAAAAAGAGAAGGAAATAATTTTTTCTGAAAAAGAAAAACATGAAGTCTCCAATCAATTCATTAGTCTAGCTGCTTGAGTGTGTGGTGCGACAGTGACAAATAGGTGAGGCAAATCTTGAGGGGAGGGTCCGGATGGAGTGAGCTGAGGCTGAGGAGGTCCAGAAGAAGAAAGTGTGATGAGAGTGTGACGGGTGGTCTTGCGACGGGGAGACAAATCTGGGGGTTGGGTGGGGTGTGGCTGTGATGAGGAAGACGTGGAGGTGAGAGAGTGCCATAATGGGGAGGGAAGGTAGGGGTGAGAAAGATGCCGAAAGGGGAGGAGAACACCAAGGGTTGGCTTGGTGGTCAAGGAGGTGTGCTCCCTTCTTGGACTTATTAGGTTTAACTCTTGAAACTACTTACCTCAATGCATAATTATGACTTACACGGTTCATTTGGTTTGTAGGATATTTAATAGATTTCGATGATTAGTTAAAGTACGTGTAAGTTGATTCGGACATCACGATTACAAAAAAAAATAAAATAGAGCAACAAGTTTGCGTTTGATTTAATTTTCAATTTTAAGGGTAAAATAATCTTTATATAGTCAGAAACCTTACTCAGTTAAAATTGTCCTAACTGCTGTTAGGGGCTTCTCTGTTACCCTAATTATCTTCTCTACCCGCCTGTTTAAAACCTTAGGGGGTCTGTGGTAATTAAATCTAAGATTTTAGACTTACCTAATTTAAGTATGGTTTTAGCGTCAAGCCTTTCCTTGCGATAGTGTTAGCGCCAGTGCATGCCCTGATAAACTTCTAGCTTCAAAGTGTTTGAACTTGATGCTACAGTTTTAACCGATTATGGTTATGGTCTGGTTATGATTTTTTTTTTTTTTTTTTTTTGTTAATTGGAGCGTCCAAACCAGTTTATGTGCACTTCAATTAATTTATAAAGTTTATTGAACACTCTATAAGCTTAAAGGATCAAGTAAACCACAATATTATTATGGTAGATAGCTCTAAGTTTGAACTCAATAATTCAAGCAAACCTTCTTGACCATCAAGCCAACCTTTGGGATTGTTATGATTTTTTTTTACTTTTGGTTAATGAGAAGTAAGTAATTTAATCACCATCAAGAATATCAATTATTTTCATAAAATTTTGTCTTGAGGTATGTATAAACCAATGTTCAAAGTTTCAATTCCATTTTGAAAATCCCAATACAGAATCACCTTTGCTTGATCGGTGATTGCTCTAATGTATTGTATTTCTGCAATCCAATTTTCCAATAACTTCTTTCAAACTACTCAAAGTATAAATTAGAATATTAAACGAAAAGAAAAGCAGGAGTTGTTTTCAGCAATATGAAGAGAAATGATTACTTGCATGTTTTTAGTATGGCAATCCATGTTCTCAGATTTTGTTTTCACTTGAATCCATTTTTTATTGAAATTAAAATTACTATATTCAATCAGACAGAAATTGACTGCCTACCAAATCTGTGATTATCAGTTTTGGTCCCTTCAAAAAACTACTCATTCATTATAATGCAAGGGCTATCATTACTACGACTTTCAATGTTTGAAATATATTATCCTCTCCATTGTCTTCCTCCCGGATTAAAGCTTTGTACATGTCTTAATCCGAATCTCGTTTTCAAGATATGAACCTTTCATCTTTTTCAACCTTCTGCAATTCTCATTTTGTTCATAATTTTGCCAAGTTTAAAGTTCTCAACATGCATGCAAATGTGAAAACTGGAAGTTGTGTAGATTTTGATTATCTATTGTTAAGTAATTGTGAGTTTGTGCTTTTAAGTAGTATATGTGAAGCAATCATGTAATTAAGCTTACAAAATGAGGCTTATGGAGATCTACCTTTGAGATCTGATCTGTGTCACTATCATGAATATGAGGATACTAATTAATTGCTTTAATCAATTGCGTATGGGACCAATTTCGATCACTATTTGTCTGATCTCAAAGTCTTTGTCTAAGCCCACAACTAGTATAAAAAATTATATGCTTTAAGATTCATGAAGCTCCTGTAAAGTTGTGTTAATACATGTGGCTCCAGAAAATTAATTGGTCATGGCAGTGTTCTCCTCCACTCATTACAAAAGAATTATTGCCTACTGGATCAGTCACTGATCGATGTTTCTATATACACACATATATATATGCAGGAAATTAAATTTGGTGGTAAATTTTTGTGAAAGAATTGAAGAATAATCCTTTAGTTTACCCTGTCTACATTACATTAACTTTCCTATGGTGAAACTGATAAGGTAAACCAACTCATAACAGCGATCACATGGGCACAAAAGACTGATCGGTTTTTGTCCAATCCTATGAGTATTAATGAGATTACCAACTTTCATCATGGTGTCTGGCATTGTATTATATGTGTTGAAGCAATCCAGAATTTCATTCTCTCTAGACTTAGTAGAGTATCTTCATTTTTGATAAAACTCCAAGCTATGGCACATGAATAGATACTTACATCTTAACTAACTAGTTTCTCAGATCTTGGACTTATTATTAATTGGTAATTTGGTGTTATATAAATATGGTGAGGCTCGTATGATTCCATATTGTACACGTCAACTAATCCCCCGAGACCCTGAAGTGAATAATCAGGTAAATCATTTTAGTGACCACCCTATTAGTACCTGGAGAGACTTGAACTCAAGAATCCAAGTTAGACCCCTTTGCTTTTTTATCATCAGGTTATCCAGTGGTGGTTTTTTTAGTTATTGTTTGGTTCAATTCACTCCTATGAATTGCTTTTGAGCACATTATAAACTATAGCGTGCCAAACTTGATTAACTGTTTGTGTTTGAGGAAATTAATTAGAATTTAGTTTTAGATATGAAATAAGGGTTACATCTAGATGACATGTATTGGGCACGTATAATACATAAATTTTTAAGTTTATTAATTCTTAGTGCCCACTATATAGCCATCAACTTTCTTCAAGATGATCATCAACTTCTAATTCATTCAAAATTTGACTCCTTTGGGCTTTGCCATCCCACATTCCTCTTTATGAAACCAAAAAGCCTAGCAATGTCAAGCCCACATCGTTGAAAAATCTGTGGATTATCAGCAATTCATAATTCATTCCCACTTTGTTTACTCCTTTTACAGTCCTTAATTTCTCTTCAAAAAGACTACGACCTCCGTGGTCACAAATCTACAACTCATACAAAATTGTATCTTAGCAAAGAGAATAAGGGAAACACTGATTGTAACTTGTAGCTTTTCTTTTTTATTCGGTAATCATAGCACATTGGCTTCTTTATGCAAAAAGAAGGTGCATTTTATGGAGTGTTAGAATAAATAAATCTTTTCTCAATTTATAAAGCTCGAATGTTCTTCTTGCCATCCAATAAAGTGTATTTGTATTCCAACAGGTCTTTCTCACTACATAAAGAATGATGAAAATATGAAAAGCTGAGTGTTTCTCTGTGATCAGTGCGGGAGAAAAAAATAGATATATTGCTGGGTTTGTGTTGCTCTTCCTATTTTGTTTTCGAGATTGAAGAATGCAAAAGTTTCATTCTTTAGCATCTTTTATTCTTCCTTCATGTTATGTTATTCTTTTACCATTTGTTGGATGCTCATCCCATGAAGAGTTTAGTCAATCTTCCAGAAATCACAAGATCAGTAAAGAAGAAAATATACACAAGGTAATCAAATTTTGTTCAAGTATTTTGCCTTTTACAACAGTTTAGTTTCAACATCCTTTCTCCTACTTTTGTCTGTTAACATTAATATTTATTTGCAGTTGAGTCCTCAGATGGCATCAAATATTACAGTTCATGGTCTTCTCTTGTGGACTTCAATAGGGTTCTTAATGCCTGTTGGGATACTAACTATCAGAATGTCCAGTAAAAAGGAAATTGGAAGCAGAGAAGCTAAAGTGTTCTTCTATCTCCATATTATTTTGCAGGTACTCTCACTTCTTCACTCTTCTAGTCTTCTGCAAAACTGGCTAGGATAATCTATTTCCATGATGCAAAATTAGGAAATTCATTTTTACTTGAAAGAAAATTAAACCCTTCTTTAGAGTCACAAGAGATGTAATCATATGAAATCTTGATAGTGGTGTAATGCATCATTGAAACCACTTTAACTTTAATCATAGTGTCCATAACTTTCTATTTCTTTTTCTCAAGTAGCCTGCAACTGATTGCTATAAGTATAGTTAATTAAATAAACCAATTTCATATCTATCATTTAATCTTGAATAACAAGAAAAGGGAGTGATTATGTTGTTTTTATTCAATCTAGTACTGCAGAATCTTGGTTTGTCAATTTTCAAGATTTTGTTTGATGATCTATGCCAACATGAACTATCTTTGTCAGCACTAAGCAGAGTTCCATATGAAATTGGTCATTCGTAACTATTCAACAACACACACACACACACACACACATATATATATATATATATTATTATTTTCCTTTAATGCTGTTACAGATACTTTCAGTGGTTCTAGTGACAATTGGAGCTGTCATGTCCATCAAGAACTTCGAGAATTCGTTTGATAACAATCACCAAAAGTTAGGTCTAGCACTTTATGGAGCCATGTGGGTGCAAGCCTTGATTGGATTCTTCAGGCCTCCTAGGTAATTCATTAAAGATATCCATTTTGATTCAAACTAATATTGTAAGTACTGCATGTTTCACCAACTTAGATTAATGTTAATTAATTTACCAGATAATCTCTTTCTTTTTTTGCAGAGGAAATATAAGAAGAAGTACATGGTACTTTCTTCATTGGCTATTTGGAACAGTGATTTCTCTTATGGGGATCATCAACATCTACACTGGTTTAAAAGCTTACCATGATAAAACTTCAAGAAGCACTACAATTTTTACTATACTTTTCACGGCTGAGATCTGTTTCTTGGCTTTCTTTTATCTCTTACAAGACAAATGGGATTATATGCAAAAGCAAGGACTGATTTTAGGCGATAATGTTGATGCAGTCCCTTCCTCCATTCAAGTTATTACTCAAAGGGAAAACGAAAAAGTGTTGCCGCCAGAACCATGCGGAAAACGCAACGCATTGAGGAATTTGTTTGACTAGCTAGCTAACGTTGGGTTCTTAAATCATTTCATCTTAATTTATTATCTCGTTGTTAATGTGGATTCATGGTTTTTCATAGTCCACGTTTTGATGCATGTCCCATCCCATTAGCTTATTTATTAAACGGCTATGGTGGAAATGCATCAAAACGTGAAGTATGAATGGGTATTTTGCATATTTTGTGTCTTAAACATTGATGTTCTCTTGTTATGACTTGGACGTTTATCAGGCCCAATGTACCTTGCATTAATGGCCATTAGGTGATTGTTTAGAGGAATGATTTGTATGAGAGTATTTATCAAGTTTGTAATGAAGCTTGTATATAATGATTAAATATATGAATGAAATAATGCTGTTTTTTTTAAGGGTTTAATTTGTTTCAATTCCTTTTCTGAATGCTTTGTTGAGTTGAGAATTAAGCTTGATTCGGTCCATATATTTCTTATTGGGTTTCCTGGTCACAATGGACCTACTTAAAAATAGCCCAATTTATTATCTCTGACCCATGTTTTTAGTCCAAGTTCGCCTTTTATCTACAATTATTTTTCTAAATAAATTAAGTGAAAATATATTATTTAAAAAGGGGATTGTTAGATGTAAATTTTATAGAGAAAGATGGTAAAAATGATTTAATGACAGCTCTCCCCTGCTATTCCTCTTAAAGTATTCTAAAGTTAGAAACTCTCTTCTTCACAGCTTGATCAGCCTTCATGGAGGCATAGTTACATTTTAGAAGACATGGTTCTTTTTATTGGTCCTAATTTATTTAAAGAGTATATATATATATATATATATATATATATTGGGTACTTAAGATGTTCAGACCAGTTTGTGTACATACTAATTAATCTTTGAGATTCATTGAAGACTCTATAAATTTAAAAGACTAGATAAGTTAGAATAATAATATTGTGATAGATGACTTTAAGATTTGAACCTAAAAATTCAAAGAAGAGAGTAAATCTTTTTTATCATCAGCCAACCCCTCGAGGGTTGTATAAATGATATTTTGATTATGCTAATTTCTCATTCCAGTGATGTATGTATACTTTTATACTAATGTTTGTTTCACTGTATATAAATGAAGGGACAAACGTGAGTTGAAAGCGGTGAAGGATGGCACTAGAGAGGAAGGCCGACTTATATGAAAAACTGGTGAGGGGAGGAGAATTGTCAGATGCGGAAGATAAGGGAAGTACTGCAGATTACTCTTATATATTTTATTATTTTTAAAAATATATTATTTAATTTTTGTGACACATGGCACGACCTTTGCTAGCCTAATTTCAGACTTGTCAGTTGCCGTCCTCATTCCTTGTATTATTTTTCATTGTTCTTAAGATTTGACTTAGAGAGAGATAATTCTTTGTCGTGTCCCGGGGCCCTACAAACAACCAAATATTTTAGGATTGAGTTGCACTAACGACAGTTGCGTCTACGATATGTCTCGTAACATGTGTAAAAAAAAATAATGCACGTTTATTTCGTTATTTATCACTATTCTATCAAAGACGCATTATTTAAATCATAAATTTATTAATGGATAAAAATATTATCAATAAAAAATTTATAAATTAATAAAAATATCTCTTTTTACTCATAACTATTATAACTATTATTGATGGTGTCTAGAATCTATCACAATAGCATATTATCAGTCAGAATTGGTTGGTAATATGTCGATCTGATCTTTTCCAGTCAGATCCACAATAAATCTAGCTAAAAAAGATTAGATCCATGATAGATTAGGCTAAAAAAAACTAGATCAATGTACGACCGATCAGATCTGATCGATCTTACGCTGTAACACCAGATTCTGATGGTGGTGGGTAGAATCTGACACTGTAAATGGGTGGGTGTGTTTTTATCATTTTACAAAATTTTTATATATTGGAGTGTTTAGTTATATTTGTAAATCTAAGGTTTTTTTTTTTTGTTAATTTTTAAATTTTACCTCGTAATAATCATCCAACTCTATCTACCAATAATATTTTAAAAATACTACTCAAAATAATAAAACAAACACATATTTTATTTTATTAAAAAATATATCATTTAATTTTTGTGACACAATCACTGTCGCCCAATAACTTTTTCATTTATTTATTCTCAATATATATATATATATCAAGAGCAAACAGAATAGGTAAAAGAAATGTATATTTCTTGGGAATTTACTTTTTTTTTTTTCAAAATTATAGTCTAGCAGGTTTTTTTTTTTAATTATTATGTTTCGATAGTATATTTGTTCAATATAAAATTGTACTTATGTGTTAGATATATAAAGTATAAACTCATTAAAACTTTTTCCTAAAACCGGTCACAATATATATATATTTTAATGAGTCATTAGTAAGGAATTTATTGGTAAATGTATACATTTTTTATGAGACGTCCTGAATAACTTTGAAAATTGTTATATGAGAATATGAGTTTTGTTTTGAAAATTATTATATGTAATGCTTTAACCTGATTAATTATGCTATTAATAGTACATTTATTAAGTTAATTAGGTCTATTATCATTTAGGGAATAATAGCCCCCGCTTGGCTTCCCTCTTTTAAATCATTTGTTTATTATCATATTTGGATTAAAAAGCAAAACATGTATTTGTTTATTTATTGGAACCATTAGTTTGAAAATTAATACGAATCAAATAAGATTTTTTTCTATTGAAAAATTTCGGCCAGGGTGGGGGAGAACGGCTTGATTATGGTCGTAGAGTAGATTTAGTCGAAAAAGGCCAGGTCGACGCACGACTAACCAAATCTAATTATTCATGTATTGTTCCAACGACTATTAGCTGCTGTCCGGTGGTGGTGGTCGGCGATAGACAGTGACTTGGGTGGAAAGGGGTGTTTTTATTAATTTTTAAACTTTTATTGGGGGGGAGGGTGTTTAGCTAAATTAACAAATGTAGGAGGTTAAAAAATAATGTAAATCTGGTCAAATTCTGGTGTAGATCTGGCCGAAAAAGGTCAGATCGGTGTACAACCAGCAAGATCCAGCTGATTGTGCACTATTCTAACGACTGTTGGCCACCGTTCTGTGGTGGTGGCTAGCTACCGGTAGTCGGTTGGGTGAGTGGGGGTTTGTTAATTTGTATAATTTTATTGCTGGGGAAGGGGGGTGTTTAGCTAAATTAACAAATGTAGGAGTTTAAAAAATAATCTAAATATTTTTAGAAAATGTTTTCAATAAATGTACCAAACACAATGTTAAAATCCTATCTTGTTTTATTTAATCATATTCTATCATGTTCAGAATTGTTTATCAGAATATCATCCCTCCATTTGTTTCCCTATTTTTTCACCATCCTATCCTATTATCTTATTCAATCATATCCTAATACACATTTGTTTTAATATTCTCAGTTCTTTTTTATTTTATTCAACTCAACTCAAAACATTACAATTATCTCTCTCAATAAAAGTTTTAAAATTTACGAAAACACTCCCACCCAACCAAGCCATTGTCACCCGCTAGTAGCCACCATCGTCGATGTGCCACTGTCGTCCTCCAGCGTCATAACGACGCATGACCGATTGGATTTGGCTGATCGTGCGCTAATTCGTTCGTTTCTGGCCACATCTGGCCGTTGATGATGGCCAAACGACAGCCAAAATATGACCGTTAATGATGATTAGATCTGGCCAGATTTGGCTGTCAACGACCAAATCTGTGGCTGTAGATTTGGAAGTTTCTAGCTAGATCGACGCACGACTGGGTAGATCTAACTAGTCGTGTGTCATTCTAGCAGATTTCGACCACCTTTGGATGGTGGTGGTTGACTATTGGCAATATATAGAGGTGTTTTTATCAATTTATAAACTTTATTGTGAGAGATATTTAATTAAATTAACAAACTTAAGAGGTTAAAAATAATTTAAATATTTTCAGAAAAGCTATTCAGAAATATATCAAAAATTTCTTAGAATCCCATCTTATTTTCTAAAAATGCTATTCTAAAAATACTGAGAGTGTTCGTTTGCTTTTTACTTCAGGAACTTACTGTTGACTTTAACTTATGTGGCTATCAATCTCTCGTACTACCATTATTAATCAGATTTTCAACACATAACCGGCCATAAACTTTGACATTTTATCCCTTGTATTGAAATTACAATGAATTAGAACCACACAAAATTCTGAAGCCCAGATTTTGAGATCACGTGTCGTCTAAGAAAGATCTAGTAACATTTTACCCTCTATATATATATTTGCTTTCCTTGGCAAACACACTCGTGAATTTAACAAAAGTTACATAGTTTGATATAGTTGCATTAGTATTAGTGCATAAACAATAGTTTCTGAGCTTTCGTGCTTGCAGCATCCTTGCTCTTTGTTCCACAAACCTATACATTTTAATATTTTATGCGCCACACAGTCACAAGTAATCCTGCATCTACTTTCACCATTAAAATTTAATTTGATTTTGAAACCTTTCAAATCAAAATATGGCTCTTCCCCACCTCACTTCACTCCCTGCTACTACTTTCAGCAGATTGCCGCCTACAAATTATCGCATCTCAATTGCATCGTTTAGCAAATATGTTGTCCTTCCTAGTGGAGTTCAATGCATGGCTTCCATTAAAATGTGTGATGAAACCATTGTCAGGCGGTCAGCCAATTACCAACCTTCCATTTGGAGCTTTGATTATGTTCAATCGTTGAAGAGTGAATATGTGGTATATGTCCTTAATCTTTTCTAAGGATTATAATTCTATTAATTTTTTTATTTATTTTCTGCACTGTGGTTTAAACAGTGTTAAATCTTATTAGTTTGCAATTTTGCTATGATTTGCTTAATAATTTTTAATGTTATAGTAGTATGAAATTAATCACTGCGGTTGCCTGACCAAAGTTTAATCATGTAGGGAGAATCATGTGCCAAGCGAGTGAAAAAACTAAAAAACGATGTGAGGTTGATGCTAGACACTGTGGTCGATCCTTTACATCAACTGGAGCTCGTTGATGATTTGCAAAGACTTGGAATATCGTATCACTTTGAGGATGAAATTAAGAGCATTCTGAATAGCATATATAACAAAAACCAAAATCAGAAAAGTTTATATGCCGTAGCTCTTGAATTCAGACTCTTAAGACAACATGGCTACGACATATCAGCAGGTATTCAAAATGCATAAATAAGAAACATTAC